AAGCCGAAGGGTCGGCCCTGGCAGCCTCCGGGCTGAAAAAGAAGTCTGTGGGGTTTCTTTGGAGAAGGAGCAGGCCTCAAGCTTGAGGGGTCGTCTGAGCTGAGGTTATCCCCAGAAAGTGAATAAAAATGTTTTGGCTCCCTCACCACAGCTTGTGTCTCAGTCTGAATGCCCTTGAGTGCTGCGTGTGAATAAAGAGCTCATAGGTTCTGTAAGCTGCTGCTGAGTTATCACATGTCTCTTCTTGCTGGCTAAGGGAACTGCCCTGCAAGACTTGTTTACTTGGATTATGTTTCCTGTTTTTAAAAGGGTGCCGAGCGCCTCTTTGGCGATGGCTGCTGCACACAGTCCCCTCTGAACTTCTGGAGATTGGTTTCCACCATATAACCAGAAAACTGGCTGCCTTTCTGCCAAGTTTCTTTTGTCAGAGAGCCCTTCTGTGTGGGTGGCAAATAAAGCTGCGTCTGCGTGCTTGTCTTGTTGCAGATTGTGGCTGGAGTCAAGTACATAATGGAGGTTGAGATTGGACGGACAACTTGCACCAAGCCAGCAGCTGATCTCCAGGATTGTGCTTTCTATGATGCACCACAGATGGCTCAGGTATGCTCCAGAGCACAGCGTGCTGGCCTCTGGGTTTCCAGCACCTTCCCTCTCACTGGCTTAGTACAGAGGGGTATGGGCAGTGTCCCGTGTCTGCACCAGCGAAGATCAGAGCCCTCATGCCCTTACACTTAACAAGATACAGCCCTTGCAGAACTCGTCTTACCAGATGATGGTGACGGAGAAGGCAGGGCCTTTTAACCTGTTCTGTAAGTGTGGATCTGAGGCTGTGGTAAATGGAGGACTGTGTGTGCCTCAGTCCTCCTAAAAAGTGCTTGTGGTCTGGATCACAGAGATGTGGAGGAAACCCCGCCAAACCTACAGGTCTCCTGCCTCTTAGTCCAGTGTCCTAAGTCTCCATACCATTCTCAGGCCCTCTTAGCCTGTGCTAATGTAAATATGCTTTCCCTGGGAACTTATGTCACCATGACTAGTGCTTTGGGCTAAGCACTGATCACAAGAGGTAGATTATCTCGTTTTTCCTCTGCCCTCCAAGCTGTTATGCGTAGGTTTTGCATAATAGCAATACTCTTTAAGGAGTTCTTCACCTTTTCAGGTGAGAGTGCCCAATATGTCTACCTCGATCTGGCCTGAGTTTAGTTCTTCTGTAGTACTTCATTATTTCTATTAATCATGGTGACAGGCTTGGCTTCCCTGTGTGTGTGCCCTTCATGGATGCATGAATGAGAAGTGCAGCTGCCCACAAGTGATCAGTTAAGCATCTAGCTAGAAACTTATGTGTACCTGTATGACAGCTGCAATGATTTGATGCCTGGATGTATGGATCAGGTGTGCTGACCTGTGCCTGGGAGCTTATGCTGGAGTGTTAGCTGTGCTGAAAGCTTTCCGGAGTGTGATAGGGTTAAGGAGGGAACCTGATCCTCAGAAGTACTGACTGCTCAGCTTCTCTGTAGCTGTTTACTTGAGAAAATGATTCATCCTGAGCAGGTACTAACAAGTGTTCCAGAATACTTGCCAGGAGAGTGCAAATCTAGAGAGCCATGCAAGTGACCTACATCCTGGGTTCTGTGAGGTAGTAAATCAGTGTAGGACAATGGTCAGTGACCCCGTTTTATGCTCTTAATCTGACAGCTGCTTCTTTTTCTTTCTCTCCTTAGCACACCATTTGCAAGTTCGTTGTGTACACCATTCCTTGGCAAAATGAAACTAAGCTACTGGAGAGTAAATGCCAGTAAGCCTACCTTGGTTCCAGCAGAGACCAGCAACCAGTTGCTCAGATTTTATTAAAAAGAAAAAAGAAAAAGCAATAACACACATTGAGATGGGCTTTGTCAATGCCTGTTAACTACTTATGTATGCTTGTCCTATGCAAGTTAAATTATGTAACTTTCCTTTAAAGCACAGTACCATCTCTCCTCTGTTTTTTCTTCTTTGTAATTATATTTTAGAGCAGCTATTTTGGTCTTCCTACAGCCTTTCCCAGTAAAGTAACTCCAGCATCAGGATTCTCATTTAAAAAAAAAATAAAATCCAACAACTTGCTGTCCCTGTTAAGTAACTACTGTAAACATAAAAACTTAATTCATAATTGCTGTGATGTGTGGTTTTCTGTGAGCTTCTACTGCCTTGGAGGGAGGGTTTGCTTTTATTTATGACTAGTCTATCATGCACGAAGACAGGGCAAAGGAGCAATGTGGGTCCTAATCACAGGGGAGGTAAAACCATCCCTCCTTGTCCATGGATATGGCTTCTGGTTTTGAAGAAGAGATTAAGTCCTTAGCCATTTTTTCAATGAAGAAACAGTCTGCTTTTGAAAACCTCACAGTATGCAATGCTTGGATCTTGAGAAGATCAGCCAAAGCCTGTTTGAAGGCTGTGATCCTGGTTGCTACCCTGTTCTCCTGTGAGGCTGCATGTGGTTATGCAGCTGTGCTCTGTGGAAGTGAACCACTCCAGTGTCTTCCTGCACTGCCTTTGAGATGTTTTGGGAACCTTTCCTTCCTCTGGCATAAGGTCCTTGCACCTTGTATCCTGAGGCTTTTCCAAGCTGGAAGCTCTGAGAGGAAAGCTCCAGGATTTCCCTTAATTTGTAACTTAAGCTATGACTGGTGGACCTGGAGGAGCAGCTTCTTTGATAGGGGTGTCTGATCCATCACAGCTTCTCTTCATGAGCAGGTGAGTGTGGATTGTGCTTTCACTTTGTATTAACTGAGCAGGGGCTATTTGAATGATGTCTGATCTGGACAAATACCTTTAAATCAGCAGGCACAGAGGATCAGCACTCAAGGAAACGGGCTGAGGAGTTTCCTCTTAATCTGTGATAGATTTGTGTTGCAGGGAAATTGGGGATACTTGTGCATGCAGGAGAGGACAGATGACCCTGATGGCTGTAATGTGTTGAGCCTGAGGAGAGCCTAGTGCCAAAGCAAAGGAGAAGTTAGTAATTGGTGTTAAGTGGATAACTGATAGGAAAAATCAACCAGCATAGTTTTATAGCAAGTGGGTATTGTCCACAAACCTGGTTTTAAGTGTGAATGCTTCCCTAAAGCAGGGCTCTAAATCCAAGTGCATGTACAAGCCTGGTGGGATCTTTCACTCGGTCAAGGATGTTGCTGCTGTTTTTGGTGAATATGGGACTGTGAAACACAGCTCCAGGTTTAGGAAAAAAACCAGCTAGCGTTTCAGTGTCTTTTGTGATTTGGCATCCCGGAACCCAAGCAAAAGAGGTAAGGAAGGCAGGTGGGACTGGAGCTTGGGATTGTGATAGGAGGGGTCTTTTGATTTTACTCCTGGGTGAAGGAAGGAGCAGGCACCCCCGGAAGAAATTTCATCTTCAGATAATGAGTGAAGGTGCCAGGTCAAGAGGAGTCTGGGAGTAGGTGCAGGTGCTCAGGTGAGCAATGGAGGTGCTTCTTGGTTTGCATAATCCTAATAGTGCATTTCTTACTTCACCCTGTGTCTTTGCTTTTCTATGGTTTGAAGTAGAAATACACCTTTTGGTGTAAATCTCACACAGGGATAAAGTGAGTCCAGTATTCTGTCATGCCCTATGTTAACCCTCAAGCTCTGGAGTCCTTTGTCTGGGTCTGGTGGTCCTGTTTTGAAAGGAAGGTGAGAGGAGTGCAGAGAGGAGCTGTGGAAGTGGTCTGATGGCTGGAGAAAACTACTTGAGATGAGAAGTGTAAGGATGCTGTCATTTTTTGCTTAAAAACCGATACCTCTATGAGAGCTAAGACACGACGTGTTCGGGCATGGAAGGGGCTCGGATCTAATGAAGGAGATCAAAGCAAGAAAGTAACCAGAAAACAAGCTTCTAGTGGGAAATAGAGCTCCTAAGGAGTTCATCTTCCATGGGTTGATCTTTCTCCCAAGGGAAATACTGCTTTGCATCATTGCCACAGTTGGATGAGCTTGTGCTGAGCACAAGGCTGCATCTTGATTCGCATCATCGGGGCATAAGCTGCACCAGAGGTCTCCATCCAGGATGTGCTCGGATCTGATAGGAATTATTCCCCCTGTTTCCCCACCATCATTGCTCCATTCCCTTTGACTGCTGAGCACAAAGATGGTCTGTTTCTCTTGCCAGCCAGATCAGTGACTCTGCAGAAGTCCATCTGTCTCGTTGTTGGGTCAGTAACCTTGCTGACCGAGGAAATCCTGGTTCCAAGCTGTCGTTTTTCTAATGACTTCATTTGTACCTGATTTTTCCACTGTTTTCCAGTCTGTTTATATGAGCACTAGGCAGTGGTGAAGGGGCTCCCTCGTGCTTTTGGGTGGGTTTGCCTGTGTTTTATCACCTTGCCGTGAGGCCTAGAATGGGTAGTTGCACTGGTCTCGTTAGTAAGGAGACTAAGCAAGAAATGAAGATGCAGATAGACCTAACCAGGCATTCCCACCACTTCAGCTGTATTTGTAAGCTAGCAGCTCTGAACAGCATGTGGGAAAAAGAGTGGTCATTCCAGAGAAAATGAGGATTTGAGTGTTTTGAGCTCCTAGATTCAACGGTACTGCATTTTCATGTTGAAATGCCAATGACTAAGGGTGTGAGTGAATGGCACAGCTTACCCCATCCTCACAAGCTGCTGAGTGTCAGCCGTGGTGATTGTCCGTATGTGCTCTCCACTTGGAGGAAATGCCGAAAAAGCCTGACCTAAATTAAGCACCTTCCACCGTGGGCTGTGTTCCTTTGCATTTGCAACAGGCTAAGAGCATTAGTGGAAGTTCCCCAGCCAAGAACATTTTGCTTGGGAAGTCTTTCTGCTTGGCACTAGCTTGGTCAGCTGAACACTGAACACTGATTTTTAGCCACATTTCCTGCTTGACTTTTGCAAATATGGTTGACAGACATGAATGAGTAACCAGGAAGTGCTTATTTCATGTTGTCTGTTGCAATATGCTTTGACTGTATCTCTGGGGTCGTGCTTCCTTAAACTTAGGGGGATCAGAGCTTTGTTGCTGCTACAGCTCGTAAATCCAAAGGTTTTTCCAGGCTCTGGGACTTAGGGAGAGATTTAGGGCCAACTGTTGCTCTCCTTAGCAGTGCCTGCACCTGCAGAGAGACTTACAGAATCTGTGGTAAAAAGCTTTACTGCAAGAACTGAAGAACCCAGACAGCCCGGTCAGCATGGGTTTATGAAAGGTGAGTTCCACTGGACTATCCTGATCTTCTGTGACGAGGTGGCCCATTTAGAAGATCAGGAAAAGGCTGTGGATGTTATCTATCTGGACTTTAGTAAGGCCTTTGACACTGCTTGGCACAGCATTCTCCTGGAGAAACTGGCTGCTCATGGATGTACTCTTCTGGCCGGATGTCTGGGCCCAAAGAGTTGTGGTGAATGGAGTTAAATCCAGTTGGTGGCTCGTCACAGCTGGAGTTACCCAGGGCTCAGTATGTGGGCCAGTTCTGCTTAATATCTCTATCAGTGATCTGGACGATGGGATCGAGCGCACCCTCAGTGCAGATGACACGAAGCTGTGCGGGACCGGTGATCTGCTTGAGGGTAGGAAGGCTCTACAGAGGCATCTGGACAGGCTGGATCAGTTGGGACAAGGCAAAGTGCCAGGTCCTTCACTTGGGCCACAACAACTTCGATGCTGCAGGCTTGGGAAAAACTTGATGGTTGGACTTGATGATCTTAGAGGTCTTTTCCAACCAAAATGATTCTATGATTCTAAGAGTGGCTAGAAAGCTGTCCAGTGGGAAGGGACCTGGCAGTGTTGGTTGACAGCCAGCTGAACATGAGCCGGCAGTGTGCCCGGTTGACCAAGAAGGCCAAAAGCATCCTGGCTTATATTAGAAATAGTGTGGCCAGCAGGACCAGGGAAGTGATTGTGCCCCTGTACTTGGCACTAGTGAGGCTGCATCTTGAATCCCGTGTTCAGTTTTGGGTCCCTCATTACAAGAAAGACAGGGAGGTGCTGGAACATGTCCAAAGAAGGTCAATGAAGCTGGTGAAGGGTCTGGAGAACAAGTCTTCTGAGGACCAGCCGAGGGAACTGGAGTTGTTTAGCCTGAAGAAAAGGAGGCCGAAGGGAGACCTTATCTCTTTCTACAACTACCTGGAAGGAGGCTGTAGTGAGGTGGGAATCAGTCTCTTCTCCCATGTATCAAGTGATAAGAGAAGAGGAAATGGCCTCAAGTTGTGCCAGTGGAGCTTTAGACTGAACATTAGGAACCAAATTTCTTCATGGCAAAGGTTGTCATCCATGGAAGCAGCTGCTCAGGGAAGTGGTTGAGTCACCATCCCTAGAGGTATTTAAAAGACATGTAGGTGTGGTGCTTAGTGACATGTTTTAGTGGTGAACCTCGCATTGCTAAGTTGATGGTTGGACTTGATGATCTTGAAGGTCTTTTCCAACAAAAATGATCCTATGATTCTATGAGAGATCTGGTACCTGCTGTCTTTGTCTTTTTTACCTTGTCTGTGACTCTCACTCACACACCTCCTCTGCCAGTGGCCCAAGACCTCATTTAAGCTTAAGCCTGAGACCTCTGCCCTTGTGTGAGCTTACCTATGTCCTTATCTCCAGCCCTCACTGCTGCATGGAACTTGGACCTGCCTTGTAACTTTGTCTCCAGCCCCTTCTCAAGCTTCAGAGAGGGGTCCTTAGGGGCACTCTGTTTGCAATTCTGTGTCTGGGGCTGTTGATGAACCTTGTCCCACCCCCAGCTCTACCAGCCTTGCTGAGACCCTGCGGGACTGTGTCCCCTCAGCTCATCCCCTCCTTGTGCCGC